GAGCGTAAGCTACTACTGCTAAGTTTTATTGAAGAAGAATATTAATGTACTTTGGCAACTGACCCAAACCCAAGTCTTAGACTTGGGTACCCAATACCCAAACCCAAGTCCAAGACTTGGGTACCCAGTACCCAAACCCAAGTCTCAGACTTGGGTACCCAATACCCAAACCCAATACACCCAAGTCGCTTGAGTTTGGGTTTGGGTTTGTAACATACCTAGTATCTACTACACATTCGCACAACTCCGAACTCCGGACATGTTTTCGTTCTTTAACAGTAGACGTCCATGTGAGAGCCTAAATCATCGATGTATACATTTTGGAGAACGATTATCTCCCGGAAAATGGGATGAATCTCCCGCCCCCTATTCAATTGTTGGACTACACTATGTATACTATCATTAGCCACGGTAGAATTTTTGAGATCTTCGGAACCTCGCGGAAACCTCGCGGATCTCGATAAGTTCTATCTGACAGTATGTGTTATAACTCATTCACACACAAATTGAGGTCTGATTGCAGTCAAAATATGAAATGTTGCTTTTTTTAACGTTTTCCAGTCGCAAAGTAACGATCAATATATCCCGAAGTATTTGTTTTCATTTACAATATTTGTTTTCTCCTCAAAGTTGACCAAAAGTCGTTAGAGTTGTTTTCTGAAAATTCGAGTTTTTGCCTCTGGACACTTCGGTTGGACATATGTCACTCATTTTAAGTCAGAAATCGATCGAACTTTCAGTGCGAGCTCATGAATGCTCACAATTCACACTGGCATGCCAAAACTTTGGGATCAAGTGCATCGAATATCAGAAGGTTTGTAGAGATTTCCTGAAAACCTCAATGTTAAAAAGTTATAGTTTATAGATTTTTATCCCTAATTCATACAGACAAAAACTGGGATTTTCAGAAAATATCTCGGGCGACTTTTGTTCAACTTTTAGGAGAAATAAACATTGTGGCGATGATCGATTACCTATGTTTCGAGCCTCTCCGAAATTCCGGGACGTGTCCGGACCGAGATAGCATGGTCTCCGGAGAACCTATCTAGCTCCCGAACCTTGAAAGGTGGTGGCCTGGGACTGACCCAGAATTGAAGATTTCAATCTAGCCTATCTATCTAACATCTTGAAACTTTTCAGTGGTGAGCAGCCTTCTACAAAATGTCCAGGCGTGATATTTTACCTGAAGATGTTGCTTGTTCCATTCTTTTCCAAAAAACGAAACATTAGTCTGTAGCGCGCAACTTGACGCTCCGAATGGCATGAGAAGCGCTAGCTGTTCACTGTGAGGCTCGCATAGAGCTGAAAAATTAGGTTGCGGAAACGGAGCATCACCGATTAAAAAATTTCCACAGACTATACGATGTGCGCTATTATAAGCTAGACAATATGTCTAAACCCAGTTTGAGAAGAAGAATCCGAAAAACATATCAGCGGAATCGGAAAGTTGAATGGTGAGGGGATAGTGCCGAGTTTTGGAGAAGTCTTCTTCGAGGTTTTCCAGCGTTCTTCACTATTTTGCGCTTTGCTTCCTGCAAACTCAATCAAAACGAAAACATAAGATCAGATTCGTGATCAGCAGATTCCGGCAAATCAGAATAGGTGTGTTTAATTGAAAGACAAAATCCACCCGACGTTCGAATTAAGTGCGCCTTATACTTTTCCCAAAAACGACAAAAGCTCTAAAGTTGAAACTTTAGGAAAATGTTTATTATCATAATGTGAAAAAATGCTTTTAAAAAATTTGCGAGTCGTTACGTATGAAAACAACTATTTTTAAAAATGTTTTACTCCTTTCTAACTAAAGCAAAATTAAAGCAATCTCTCTTTTTTAATCAAAATGTTACTTTAACTACCAGCTATCTTTTCGATATTTTCGATCGGTATAACTTAGCCATGGACCGGTTGATCCTCACTGGACAAAAAAACACTGTTTAGTCTGCGATGCCGCTGTTAGTGTGAATTCACTACGTAACTGTGGATGAATTGGGAATTCATTCAGTTACTTACAACTTACTCACAAAGAGGGAGATGAGATAACGATTCGTTCCAATAAAAAATTGATTTTATTGTCGCTAGATGGTAGCTAAATTCATGATTTTTCATACTAAGTCGTTAACAACTCAATAACCACTTGCAACTTTGAGCTGATCTTTTGAGTGATAGTGAGCATAGTTTAATGAATAACATATAAAAATTTCACTTAGACTAATAAAAATGTCGGATATGAATGGTACAATGGTAGCACAACTCATATGCGTGCATGATAATAACTTAGTCTAGTGTTTGAAAAATTTAAAATTTAGTTAAAACTAATCGAGTGGTTATAAACATCGCCTGGTATGTGTAACTTGATATGTTCTATAAAGCGGTTGATATGAAAAGCCCAAATTCGATTGAAAAACTGCATGGTCTGGTTTTCTAGAAACCTCACTTGATATTCCAAGGAATTTTAAAAGATCCCAAAATCTCATCATAGCTCATAACAGTATACATAGTGTACTTCAACAGTATCATAGGGAGTGAGAGTTTCGCTCCATTTTCCGAGAGAAAATCTCCAAAATGATCGGATCAATGATTTGGGCTTTCATGACATCATTTACTGTAAACGAACGAAAGCATGTCTGGAGCTCGCGGTTGTGTGACTTTGTAGTAGACCCTATCTAGTAGTTATGGTAGAATTGTTAAGTCTAAGTAACGTGTCGTTACGGAGTTGCACGTAGTTTAAATTGACAGTTTCGTTTGATGCCGAAATTTGTGCGTTTTCGGGCTCTTTGCAAGAATTGAATATCTCAACAACGCAACAACTTTAGGACCTGCGGTTTTCGCCAAAATTCATAAAATGCTTTGCTCTAAAGAAGCCCTGACTAAGGAAGAAATCTGAGATGGTCGATTGAGCACGTTGGGTCGTGGCTTATCTTTAATGGCTCTTAATTAAGTCTAATTACCTGTTCTCTTCAAACTAATGAAAGACTTGCAAAGATCCGATCGAAAAGTGGATCAAATCATAATTTATCATATCGCATTTGAAAGAGTAGTAAAAACACTTCTAGTTTATATAATTAAATAATTTCAAACGTATTTTGGCATAGGGAACGCTTGATGCGTAAGATACGTTTGAAGGGGTCGGAAGTTGCAAGTGCGTTTTTCGCGACGTTTGATATTTAAAGTTTTTCTTCCTCAAAGTCAATCGCAAAAATTATGTTTTCTATGGTTTTTTGAAGTTCGGACTTTGCTCGTTCCAATGAAAAAATACTTAACTCTTGAGCACATTGACAACAAACAGAAACAATGTTCAGCTTTTAATGCAAGAGTTTTGTACCACCCGTTAGTTCAATGTTGATGGTGATTTCAGAGACTACAACACAACTCCTTTCTACAATAAATGGACTTCTATCGACAAGTTCAATAATCGAAAGCTTCGCAGCTAGTGACCATAGTTCAACGATAACAACACTGCTGACAACAGCATCCCTGACGACTCAATTGACAAGGACTGAAGAAACTTCAACAACAACAAATCTTTCATCTGAGGGTAAGCGGTGTTTTTCAGTTGAAATGCCAGTTGCTAAGCGACCAATGCTTTCTGTCTGACATATGATTGGCCGTTTGATACTTCGACCTTTTGTAACTTGTAAACGACGTAGAGCGACGTTATCCAGAACCCGGAACTGGAATTCTTTGTTGCTGCAAAAGCGTTTTTTGATAATGTCAGCTCAGTGCTGAGATATCGACTACAACTTGTGTGTTCATTAAGTATTTATGACAGAGATTCTTAGAATTTCTACAAGAAAGCCATTTGTTTGTGGTTTCATCAGTAAAGATCGGACACCACAAAAAGTCATTAATACATTAAAATATGATGTGCTCTACAATCTCACCTCTTTAAAATACAGAACAAAAATTTGAAGATTAGATACACTAGAAAAAAAGATCCGTTTTTCGCAACGAAATGACTATGTATATTTTGGAGTCAGTACTTTAGATAGATAGACAGATAGATAATTTATTCGTTAAGTTCTTTCGATGGCACACGGAAGAAAAAGAAACAAACACAGCACGCATAGCAAAAGGAATAAATACATGTATATTACTTATAACGTTATCCTACCCATGGGGAAATTTTATCGATATTTCACGTGTGAGAACCCGTGAACTCACAAAATGTCAGAGAACTTTGAAGGTAAAGACAACAAGTTTCATGACTTCGGGGCCATACACTTGCAACATCAAACGCATGTTCACGAGCGGAGATTGGTCACTTGTATACATCTGTGACATTTGCACGAGCAAATTTCTATCAAAACTTTTGATGGCAGTCTCACACGTGTACACAGGTGACATTTGCGACTATAGCTATTAATTTGTGATTACTTTCATACTGGAATTCTAAAGCAAAATAAATTAGTAGAAACTGTCGCTTAAACAAGCTTTTCCTACTTTCTTTAAAAGGTGCAACAACAACTACAACGATAATAACAATGTTTTCTACATTACAGAGCTCTCCCTTAATCATAAGTACTATGACTGCAAGCACACCCACAGCAATAGCAACAGGAGCAACTTTAGGTATGTATCGTATTATGTCAGTCGTCACTGCCATTCCTTCCTCTTTCTGCATTTGCTATTCACTTCTCGTGACCCGAAAGAATATTAACTCAGTCAACATTCTTTCTTCATCTATATTCATTTCTCATGACTACAAGGAATGCTGACTCATTTCTTGTTGATTCAGCATTCTTTCTTCATCTATATATACTGCTTGTATGTACACACCGCAGGAGGTGCTTTTCAATAAACCATGTGTACATACAGCTAAAGATTCGAACAAGTTAGGCGAAGCCTAACAATTAGTGCATTAGCCACCTCACTGCCAATCCAACGTCGCAGTGAACGACCCGTACTTGTGCATGGACAACAACACGCGTCAATATCATACACGAAGCATATTACGAAGCAGAGCACACTCACAAGAGCTCGCCTCACTCGCCAACCTGAACGAAAACGGGTCTCGTCAGCATTCCCCAAGTCGAACACTCAAGTCACTCGGTCATAATCAAACTCTGAACATGCACGAACCAATAAAACGAGTGTCAAGACAACGCCGCTACGATTCACATCATTCCACAGCTACCACCCTTGACAACCAAACTCGGTCATCCCGCTTGCCATCTGATCCAATATATATAACAACTGGCTGGCCGGTGTGTTTCCATTTTATTGTGGCATTATCATGGAGTACGGTGACGTACTATTCTTGCAGGGTGGCATATTCGTGGCGAAATGTGGCATTCTTATTACTGCGGCATTAGAAAACTAAGCGGCGTGTTATTTTCTTCTCACACACGTGCAATACAACTCGCGGAAATACCACTTGCTCAACACTACCATGTGGTAAACTCTGTGATACAATCACTGTGGGTCAAAGTCTTGAAGCACCCGAAGGATGTTTCTGGTCTACTCCGGAAAATGGGGTATGCTATTGGGGCAATTGCGTATTACCGGCTTACGAACGCTTGGTTCCGTTTTCCTATTTATTTTCTTTTTTTCTGGTATTGTTTTCGTTTTGTTTTATTCGTTGCCACTTCTTTTTCCGATGAGTCGCGAGCTCCTAACATGCAGTAGCCAGGTTCAAGGGTGTCGCCTAAACAAGCTTTTCATACTTTCTTCAAAAGGTACAACGACAACTACAACAACAATCACAATATTTTCTACATCAATGACATTACAGAATTCTACCTTTATCACTAGTACTATGACTACAAGCACACCCGCAGCAATAGCAACAGGAGCAACTTTAGGTATGTGCAGTAGCCAGGTTCGAGGGTGTCTCCTAAACAAGTGTTTCGTACTTTCTTCAGGTACACCGACAACTACAACTACAACAACAATGACAATATTTTCTACATTACAGAACTCTACCTTCGCCAGTAGTACTATGATTACAAGCACGCCCACAACAATACTAACAGGTGTAACTTTAGGTATTTGCAGTAGCCAGGTTCAAGAGTGTCACCTAAACTAGCTTTTCATACTTTCTTCAAAAGGTACACCGACAACTACAACAACAATGACAATATTTTCTACATTACAGAATTCTATCTTCGCCAGTAGTACTATGACTACAAGCACACCCACAACAATAGTAACAGGAGCAACTCTAGGTACATGCAGTAGCCAGGTTCGAGGGTGCCACCTAAACTAGCTTTTCATACTTTCTTCAAAAGGTACAACGACAACTACAACAACAATCACAATATTTTCTACATCAATGACATTACAGAATTCTACCTTTATCACTAGTACTATGACTACAAGCACACCCGCAGC